GTGCTCAAGTTACCATACTTCTCCCAGCAAACTGACTCCCTATGCAGCTTGACTAACACTCTGAGGAGTTTAACCTTCTCCGAGTCTTACCTTCCTAGCCATATGCTAAACTAAAGAGGACTGTTTTAAACCTAGCCTTGAATAAAGAATAACATACAGCATAATATATAACATAATATACAACATAACACAATACATTATTGAATAATATATAACATAATATATAACATAATACAGCATATATATATAATATATACACTACATATTATATATTACCTAATTATATGCTAAATTAAAGTAAAGTGCTTTAAGCCTGGCCTTGAATGTGGAGACCGTATCTGCTTCCTTAACATAAATGGGAAGCTGATTCCACAGTAAAGGAGCTTGGTAGCTAAATGCTCTGCCACCAACAGTGACCTTTGAGACCTTAGGGACCACCAGACGTCTGGCGTTTTGTGAGCGCAACGCTCGACTTGGTTGATACGACACTAACGTGTCTTGGAGATAAGAGGGAGCCAAGCCATTTATGGCTTTATATGTTAAGAGTAGGATTTTAAACTTTATTCTGTACTCCACAGGGAGCCAGTGGAGTGATTTTAACACCGGAGTTATGTGCTCCCTCCTTTTGGTACCTGTTAAGATCCTAGCTGCTGTATTCTGAACGAGCTGGAAGCTCTTCAAAGAGGCTTTAGGGCACGCTGCCAGTAAAGCGTTACAGTAGTCGAGCCTTGAGGTGACAAACGCGTGAATGAGTTTTTCCGCGTCACTTTTAGGAAGGAAATTCCTAATTTTAGCGATGTTCTGTAAGTGGAAGTACGCCGTTTTAGTTGCTTGGCTTATATAAGCCTTGAAGGAGAGTCCTTGGTCAAAAATGACTCCAAGATTCCTCACAGTGTTACTGGGTATAATACTGACATTATCGAGAGTGATTATCTGGTTAGTAAGGGAGTCACGCAGGCGCTTCGGACCGAGTAGGATCACTTCTGTCTTCTCCGGGTTGAGAAGTAGGAAGTTAAGAGTCATCCACATTTTAAGGTCCTTTATGCAGGCACTGAGCTTTTCTAGCTGATCTGTCTGATTTGGCTTCATCGACAGATAAAGCTGTGTGTCATCTGCATAGCAGTGGAAATTAATTCCATGCTTTTTAATAATGTTTCCCAGTGGCAGCATGTAGAGAGTAAAAAGAATCGGTCCGAGTACCGAACCCTGCGGCACACCGAATTCCACTCCAGAATAAGGCGACAAGTCCTGATTCACATTGACGAAGTGATATCGATCTGATAAATAGGATTTAAACCAGCCAAGGGCTGTTCCTCTAAGACCTATATCACATTCTAGCCTCTGCAGTAGAATGCTGTGGTCTATTGTGTCAAATGCAGCACTAAGGTCCAGTAGGACCAGCACTGACACTTGTCCATTATCGGCAGCTAGTAGTAAGTCATTTGTGACTTTGACTAGTGCCGTTTCAGTGCTATGATGAGCTCTGAATCCTGATTGAAAGACTTCAAACATATATTTTCCTGCAGGTGGCAGCGGAGCTGCTCAGCTATAAGTTTTTCCAGGATTTTAGATATAAAAGTGAGGTTTGAGATCGGTCTGTAGTTTGTAAGTATTTCTGGGTCCAGGTTTGTTTTCTTCAGAAGGGGTTTGATTACCGCGGTTTTAAAAGCTTGTGGGACATAGCCACATTGTATGGATGCGTTTATTATATTTACGATAGGCTCAATTATCAAAGGAAGTATGTCTTTGAAGAGCCATGTCGGGACTGCGTCTAACATGCAAGTTGAGGCTTTTGAGGATGTGACCACAGAGATCACCTCTGCTTGGCTCACAGCCATGAATTTATTAAGGCCCACTGAAGAGTCTAAGTGGGAAGTCACGTATGCCGCTTCAACCTGTCCACCACTAACAGCAGGAGCAACCTCCTCCAGCTTGTCACGGATGGATGTAATTTTATTATTAAAGAAGTGGAGAAAGTCGACACTGCTCAGTGAGCTTGGAATTTTAGGCTCGATTGCGCTATGGCAGTTTGTGAGTTTAGCGACGGTGCCAAACAAAAATCTACTGTTGTTTTTATTCGCTTCTATTAAAGTTGAATAGTATTGAGTTCGAGCCCCGCGAAGGGCCTTCTTGTAGTTTCGGAGACCTGCTTTCCACTCCCTGTGGACAGGCTCCGAGTGGGAGTGGCGATATAGCCTCTCCAATTTTCTGACGTCCTGTTTTAAAGTGTGGAGTTGAACACTGTACCAGGGCGACGATGATCTAATCCTAATGGTTTTCTGTTTTAAAGGAGCTGCTGCATTTAATGCAGATTTTAAAGACTCCATAGTGTTGCCCACCGTTTGGTCAATGACTGAGGGACTGCAGCTGCTGTGAACAGGTTCACCTGCAGCAGTATTCAACATAGGCTGTATTAGTTCTTTGAACCTTGTGATAGATTTATCATTTAAGGTTCTTTTCATTATGGTTTTATCTTGCGGGACAGGAAAGTCCTCCAAAGCGAGATCAAACGTGATCAAGAAATGGTCAGACAGCAACGAGCTTTGACGCTGGATGTCAACATTGGAGACATCACAGCCGTAGGTCAGGACAAGGTCCAAGGTGTGGTTATGAATGTGAGTAGGTTCCTCGACATTCTGAGTAAAACCAACACCATCTAGTACGGCGCTGAAAGCTTTGTTTAAGCTGTCAGTGCTGTCGTCCACATGTATATTGAAGTCTCCAGCTATAACTATGTTTTCCCATTCCAAAACTAGGTTTGAAATGAAGTCAGAGAATTCTGTTAGGAACTCGCTGTAAGGACCAGGAGGTCGGTATAAAACTATAAATAGTACTGCTTTTTGTTTTCTCCACCCAGGACAGGTGATTGAAAGTGTTAAGTTTTCAAACGAGTGAAAAGCGTTGTTGGTTTTAGGACTAAGAACCAAGTTGGTGTGTGATATAATCGCAACACCACCGCCGCGACCTGTACTGTAGCTCTGGCTTTCTGGTAGTTAACATGCGTCGGAGGAGTGCACTCATTCAATCTAACGTAGTCGTCCTGTTGGAGCCAAGTCTCCGAGAGCGCAAACAGATCCAAGCCCTTGTCTATAATAAGTTCGTTTATGAGAAGCGATTTAGACGAGATTGATCTGACGTTCATTAAACCACATTTAACAACCCTACCGCTAGAACTATTTCTGTCTGTCTGAACTTTTATTAAGTTACTGTGTCTGACACCTAGGTCAGATTTCCTCGCATATAGTGCTTTAGACTTCAAGCGGGGAACACACACAGTTTCAATCTGACTAGGTTCTGAGGCTAGTAACTGAGCACACACAGGCACACACACACATGCACACACAGTTTCAATCTGACTAGCCTCTGAGGCTAGTAACTGAACAGATGGGGGCTCAGAGGTTGTGGCAGAGCAGCTCTGCACCCGGGCCTCAGTTCTGCATCGTCATTTGAGCCGAGCAGAACAGTTTAGAGCCAGGGCCAAATTCTTAGCCAAAAGGGATGTACCCGCCAACGTTGGGTGGATATCATCCGAGCGGATGAGACCGGGCTTTTCCCAAAAGGCACTCCAATTGTCAACATGAACAACACCACTTCGAGGGCACCAGCCAGACAGCCAGCGGTTGAAAGCCGAGTGTCTGCTGAATGCTTCTGCACTGCTAGTGCTAGGTAGGGGCCCAGAGAAGATGACAGTGTCGGCCATTGTGCTAGCCAGCTTGCACACGGCGGCGACTTGCAGCTTCAACACCTCGGACTGTTTCCGCCGAACGTCATTACCACCCGCGTGAATAACAATTCGACGGAAACGCTGCTTGTGGGTCATCATGAGCCTCAGATTCCCTTCAATATCACCAAGCCTGGCCCCAGGGAAGCACCGAACAGTGGCTCCTGGGATCTTAACACCTCTAACAATAGAGGAGCCAATTACCAGCGCATCAGCGACTCCATCGGCTCTCTCAGCAGCTCTCTCAGCGGCTCTCTCAGTGGGGCCTTCTTCCCCGCCCGGCCGCGCGGGGGCGCAGCCGGACAGAGCGTCCCAGCGATTGTAAATGCTAACAGGAGGAGGCCCAATGGGGAAACTACCAACAACACGTCGCCCTCTCCGAACAGTCACAAAGCCATCACTATCCTGGTCTTGTCCCAGCTGCGGAGGACGGGCTGGGAGGCTAGGCTCGCTAGTTCTCCTCTGCCTTTCCCTAAAGCTGCGCTCCGCTGTCCCTGAGGATACGGCCTGGCTGTAGCTAATGCTAGCGCTAGCTCGAGACTCCAGTGCTCGGAGACGCAGCTCTAACTCACTGACCCTGGATTCCAGAGCTACGACTACACTACACTTCACACATCTATCACTACCCTCAGAGAAGGATCCAGGGTTTAGACTCGCCATATGGCAACTCGAGCAGTAAAGGATTGAGGGAGAGACAGCAGCCGCCATAGTAGCGAGTTAGCGGCTAGGCTAGGCTAAGCTAGGCTAGGCTAAGCTAGTACGGATCCGGGCCCGCACAACAGACTCCGAGACCAGACAAACAACCGCTACCTAAACCTCAGCTGCAGTACAGCTGACTCGGAGTGCTTACACAGTTAGCTTGGTGTACAATACGTGGATTTGTAATGTGTTTGTTAGTGCAAACAGAGAGCAGAGTGATAGCAGTCAAGAAACACGCTCACCGGATACAGGAAGTCACGTCACGTGGGTATTTCTGTATGTCTGGGTCCAGGTTTGTTTTCTTCAGAAGGGGTTTGATTACCGCGGTTTTAAAAGCTTGTGGGACATAGCCACATTGTATGGATGCGTTTATTATATTTACGATAGGCTCAATTATCAAAGGAAGTATGTCTTTGAAGAGCCATGTCGGGACTGCGTCTAACATGCAAGTTGAGGCTTTTGAGGATGTGACCACAGAGATCACCCTCTGCTTGGCTCACAGCCATGAATTTATCGAGGCCCACTGAAGAGTCTAAGTGGGAAGTCACGTATGCCGAGTTTGTTCTTCAGACTGACTCAGATCACGGTGTGTTTCTGGCGGCGCAAGACGAGGCTGGAGGAGAAACGGTCCCGGTCAGCAGAGAATGTCACAAAGAGTTGTGCTAAAGTCTTGAAAGGTTGTGAGAAACCCTGACCTCTGCATAACTGCTTTTCGGACCAAAACCGTGAGTTCTCCCAAAAAAAGCTTTGATCTGTGGGTTTCTTTCATTTCGCCGCAGAAGATTTTAATCTCACATTCATCTTTTAAATGTTTTATATTCAAGTCCATGAACCTGTGTATCGCTCTATATCTCATCAGCAGTCGTCTAGGGGTCTATACCAGCAGCAGACCAGAAAATCAAACAGTTCAAATACAGTGTAACTCCCTTTGACAGACATTTATTTGTCCAGAGGAGAAATGCCAACATTGATGAAAATGCCGTCAGAACTGAAAGGAACATAAAAAATGTACTTAAACGCTTAAAGACGGCACTTACACACGCAGCAAAGGAGACCAAGACATACCTCATTGGCCGCTTTACTCAAAAATACTTTCAAAGGGTTGCTTTTCTGATACCCGACATCTTCCGTGCGTGGACCGAGCGAAGCACCTCGTGGCTTGTGAGGAAAATTAATAGAACAAAAAAGGGTGTGTCCATATAACTATTCCCCCAAACATGTTCAAAATTAGTAAGAATTATGAAATCACTTTAAATTACACTTTTAACGATTCATAACATTTGTAACTCTTACGTAAAATTATTGAAACATTAAATAAAAATAAAGAGAGTTGCCTCTACATTCAGGCTACATTCAGGAAATGCAATAATGGAAAACTCAAACGAGCAATTGGTCCATATACGGAGCGGAACCACTGTCCTGAAACCAGAGTCAAACTCCTCTGGGGGCCGCAGGGAGTGGAGTCTGGGTGAAGCTGGGCCACATAAAGGTCTCTCTCTGGTCTCTCTCTGGTCTCTCTCTGGTCTCTCTCTCTGGTGTCTCTCTGGTCTCTCTCTGGTCTATCTCAGGTCTCCTTCTGGTCTCCCTCTGGTCTATCTCAGGTCTCCCTCTGGTCTCTCTCTGGTCTCTCTTTGGTCTCCCTCGGTTCTCTCTCTGGTCTCTCTCTGGTCTCTCTCTCTGGTCTCTCTCTGGTCTCTCTCTGGTCTCCCTCTGGTCTGTCTCTGGTCTCTCTGGTCTCCCTCTGGTCTCTCTCTGGTCTCTCTGGTCTCCCTCTGGTCTCTCTCTGGTCTCTCTGGTCTCTCTCTGGTCTCTCACCTAGTGTTTGTCTCAGTTCATTGTTTGTTTCGGACCAAATATTGACTTTTAATTGATTATATTTCTCTGAACAAACCGAGTCCAGCTGAGACTGAAACAAAACTGGACTTAAAGCAGTGAGGCTCAGACTTTAATCATGTTTACTTTTAATTACTGCGTTTTACATTCAGGGTTCAATGTTTGTCGTCAAATAAATGTTGTGGTCGTTTTCTTGATGAAAATATCTTTAAAACGACGTCTGACATATTTGCACAGACTCAGTGAGGCCTGCACTGCATACAATGTTCTCTCCGCATTTTGTTTTAAATTTTACACTTAAAAGATAACATTTTCTCGTTTGCTCCACCTGAAAAGTCCGTGTTTGTACCCAGACATAGGTTTTGTACTCGTTTTTATTTTGTTTTAAGAGTAAATAAAATAAATAATGAATAAAATAAAAAATATAAACTGAAAAATATCAATACACATATAGAATCACATTGGATCCATTCTATTTTTCCGGTTTTCTTCCCTAAAACGCCATAATGAATTTGCTAAGTCACGTTGTAAGTCAGTAATTTTTATTTATATACCGCTTTTCCAGAGTCACAAAGCGGTTTACAATTGTTATTTTTGGGCATTTGTCTCTCACTCCACACAGAGATGGGAGCAGGGCCAGTACAGGAGGCACATGCCAGACCTTTTGTACATATTTTTAGCGGTAGGGGAAACCGGAGCACCCAGAGGAAACCTACGCAGACACGGAACAGTTTACAGAACATGCAAACTCCACTCAGAAAGAACCTGCCGCCGTTCCACAAACATCATCCAAACTTTCCAGACCTTGTTACATTTGTCGACCTCCAGACTCATCGTTGCTGTGAGTTCACCGTTAAATCACCTTTCTGCTTTCAAACCCCTGAAAGCAGACTGGTGTCGCTGGTGTCACTGGGAAAAGGTCCGAGGGCCACATAAAAACGTAAACCGGGCCGCTTGTGGCTCCCGGGCCGCACTTTGCCCCGGTCTGGTCTTCATGATTCCCACTTCAGTTTTCACAACCCGCTCCAGTCCCTGTGCTCACTCTTTTATTTTCGCCCTGTTCTTCCATTCTTTGATAAGACTGTCCACATATCTGCAGGTCAAAGCCAGATCCTGTCCTACCTCTGAAGCCAAGCAGGGCAGGGTCTGGTTAGGATTGTGATGGGAGACCTCTGGGAACACCAAATGCCAATGTTGCTTATTTATTTTACTTGCTACATTATAATGGGCTTTGTTTGACAAGAAATCCTGAAATGAAATGAAAGATACAATTCAATTTATTTTTGTGTAGCCCTAAATCACATCAGTAATTATCACGGACTCTACAAAGCTTTCGATTTGCCAACTACAGATCAGAGAATCAAACAGTTCAAACACAAGAAATGCAGTGACAAAAACACACAAAGACATTGGTCCAAAAGGAGCAGAGACCAATGTCCTTAATGTTGATAAATGTGGAGTGTCCTGGATCCTCTCCGTCTCAGACCCTCCTCAGCAAGAAACAACTGAGAGATCTGCTCCCATTGATCCAGGACTGAGGCTGTAGACCAAGGACTGAGGCTGTAGATCCAGGACCGAGGCTGTAGACCCAGGACCGAGGCTGTAGACCCAGGAATGAGGCTGTAGACCCAGGACCGAGGCTGTAGACCCAGGAATGAGGCTGTAGATCCAGGACTGAGGCTGTAGACCCAGGACCGAGGCTGCAGATCCAGGACCGAGGCTGTAGACCCAGGACCGAGGCTGTAGACCCAGGAATGAGGCTGTAGATTCAGGACTGAGGCTGTAGACCCAGGACTCAGGCAGTGCAGGTTGAAGCCCCAGGCCTCAGATGTTATGACGGTTGCAATCGTTTGTGCCTAGCTCCACATTTAAGGACATGAAAAGCTGCTATAAAAAGCAAAGCAAACACAAAAACTCTTAGGAGGTGGCTCCCGGGCTCCTGTGGTCCTGTTGTGGTCAGCAGAACTGAGGGCCCCTGGAGGTGGCTCTCCTGGCGCCATACACTCACATCACAGCTGCTCCTGACAGTGGCCCCGGGCCCCTGAGTGAGCCTTGTGTGCGAGGACGCTTTGAATCAACGTGACATAATAATACACACACTGTTGTATCTCAGGAGCAAATGCAGGAGACAGAAAGTACAACGAGCAAAAACACAAACGCAGACGCAGCTTTTTGTTTTAACTGATAAACTTTTGGACAAAGGCCTGAGGTCAACAACTCAATTCAATTTATTGTTGGACAATATTGGACAAAAAAGCATGAAGTAATTACTGGCCATTGTGATTGACCAGAAAATGGATGGCGAAGAGGGAGCAGCGTCTGCATTCAGAGCTCTATCAGACTGTAGTGGTGCAGAGGGAGCAGCGTCTGCAGTCAGAGCTCTATCAGACTGTAGTGGTGAAGAGGGAGCAGTGTCTGCAGTCAGAGCTCTATCAGACTGTGGTAGTGAAGAGGGAGCAGTGTCTGCAGTCAGAGCTCTATCAGACTGTGGTAGTGAAGAGGGAGCAGTGTCTGCAGTCAGAGCTCTATCAGACTGTGGTAGTGAAGAGGGAGCAGTGTCTGCAGTCAGAGCTCTATCAGACTGTTGTAGTGAAAAGGGAGCAGTGTCTGCAGTCCGAGTTGTGTCGGGCTGTCTATTGCTGCATATTGAAGTAATTCAGTGTGGGTGTGACAGTGGCTCAGTTGGCCTTTGAGCCTAAAGGTTGTGGGTTTGAGACCCCCACGAGACCTTCTCCACCGACTCCCACTGATGTCTGCTGTCATTGTGTCCTTGGGCAAGACACTCAACCCATCTTTTCCTGAAGCCCCCACTGAAAGATTAAGGGTGGTCTCTGTAGTTTCATTTTTAGTTTTACTTCCAGTCTTGATTGTCTGCCCCGCCCTGATGTGTTTCACCTGTGTCTATATGTACCTGTGTCTCTGTGTCTATATGTACCTGTGTCTCTGTGTCTATATGTACCTGTGTCTCTGTGTCTATATGTACCTGTGTCTATATGTACCTGTGTCTCTGTGTCTATATGTACCTGTCTCTGTGTGTGTATATGTACCTGTGTATATATGTACCTGTGTCTCTGTCTCTATGTACCTGTGTCTCTGTCTATATGTACCTGTGTCTCTGTGTCTATATGTACCTGTGTCTCTGTGTCTATATGTACCTGTGTTTGTGTCTATATGTACCTGTGTCTCTGTGTCCTGGACCCCCTGCAGTTCGCCTACAGAGCCAACAGATCTGTAGACGACGCCATTAACCTGGCCCTCCACCACATCCTACAGCACCTGGACTCCCCGGGGACCTACGCCAGGGTCCTGTTCGTGGACTTCAGCTCTGCCTTCAACACAATCCTGCCATCCCTGCTCCAGGACAAGCTCTCCCAGCTCAACGTGCCCGATTCCACCTGCAGGTGGATCACTGACTTCCTGACGGACAGGAAGCAGCGAGTGCGTCTGGGGAAGAATGTCTCAGACTCTCGGATTATAAATACAGGAGCCCCACAGGGCTGTGTTCTTTCTCCCCTGCTCTTCTCCCTGTACACCAACCACTGCACCTCCAGCCACGACTCTGTGAATCAAGTTTGCGGATGACACCACCCTCATTGGACTCATCTCCAACAACGATGAGTCCGCCTACAGGAGGGAGGTGGACCGGCTGGTGTCCTGGTGCAGTGGTAACAACCTGGAGCTGAACGCCCAGAAGACAGTGGAGATGATTGTGGACTTCAGGAAGAGCACAGTCCCCCGCCCCCACCCTCCCTGATGGACTCCCCCATCACCTCTGTCCCCTGCCCTCCCTGATGGACTCCCCCATCACCTCTGTGGAGTCCTTCCGTTTCCTGGGCACCACCATCACCCAGGACCTCAAGT